AAACAGTAGAATCACTATAAGGTCTTCCGTCTGAAACGGAAGACCTTAATAATAATATCCTTTATTTATACAGGATTGCACAATTAGTTTACAACTAGTTTACATTGTGGTCCTGAAAACATATATACAGACCGATGATTATGTACAGAAACATAATACTCAGTAAATATAAAGCAAGTAGCTACTAAAATCAATATATACACATGGTTAGTGTTACGTTACCACTAAAAACATTCATATTTACCATCTAAGTAATTATATTTTAGTTTGACGACTGGTAATAATTTCTTATGTATGATGTTTTAAAACTTTGCAAAGATGGACAATTCTTTAAAAATTCTGGCAAATTATTCCATAGCTGGGAACCATAAATTGTGAAAGATCTTCTATAATATTCTGTTTTAGCCCTCGGAATGTACAATGAATTACTTTGACTCAATCTTGTAGCTCTGTTGTTTATTTCATGTACAAACTTAAAAACATCTAAATAATCTGGAGTTAATCCGTGAAGAACTTTAAAAACAAGGATGACAGTTCTATACATAAAATAATCATTAATTGGCATCCATCTCAGTTGTAAAAACATTTCCGATGGTGGTCATAAATTCGAGGGTCTTTCCATACATAGAAGGCAATGAAAATAAACCCCTCAAGAATGAAAGAAAAAGTGAGCTAGCTCACATACCCCACGCTCCCCCAAAACTTGACGGTGAAACACATAATGAAAGGCACAGTGCACTTTAAATACATAGTATAGATCAAAAAGGGCAATAATTGCAAAAAAATCTTCACATCAAAATGTCTTACATATGAGGACATTTAAATGTGGAATGAAGTTTCTAGATAAATAATGGAATCAAAATTTCTTGGCATTATACAAATCCAAACATTAATTTGAAGTGGTGGGGGGGGGGGGGGGGGGGGGGGGGGGGGGGGGGGAGAAATTTTCTTGAATAATAGGCAAAACTCTTTGGGATAAAAGAAACTATGTACAACAGATTAAGAGGAGTTGTGCTAACAAACTGTTCATCTCTATATTCTAAATATGGCCAAAAAGTCTAAGTTGGAAAGTGTGGAAATTCCCGGAAAAATAAAGGAATCGGAATTTCCTGGTAATATGCACATCTACATATTGTGTCCTAAATACCTGCAAAGTTTGACGAAATTCTGTGCAGCGGTTTATGAGGAGTTGCGCTGACAAACTGTTCATCTCTATATTCAAGGTATGGCCAAATGCCTAAGTTAAAAAGTGCGGAAATTCCCGGAAAAAATAATGGAATCGGAATTTCCTGGTAATACGCACATCTACACATTGTGTCCTAAATACCTGCAAAGTTTGACGAAATTCTGTGCAGCGGTTTATGAGGAGTTGCGCTGACAAACTGTTCATCTCTATATTCAAGGCATGGTCAAATGCGTAAGTTAAAAAGTGAGGAAAATCCGGGAAAAATAAAGGAATCGGAATTTCCTGGTAATATGCACATCTACACATTGTGTCCTAAATACCTGCAAAGTTTGACAAAATTCTGTGCAGCGGTTTATGAGGAGTTGCGCTGACAAACTGTTCATCTCTATATTCAAGGTATGGCCAAATGCCTAAGTTAAAAAGTGCGGAAATTCCCGGGAAAAATAATGGAATCGGAATTTCCTGGTAATATGCACATCTTCACATTGTGTCCTAAATACCTGCAAAGTTTGACGAAATTCTGTCCAGCGGTTTATGAGGAGTTGCGCTGACAAAAAAAGAGGACTGACTGACGGACGGGTCAAAAACATTATACCTCCCGCAACTAGTTGCATGGGGTATAAAAATAGCGATTTCACAGTATTCCTCTTTACTATTGTTTCCTACATGTTTAAAACATGTTGATTAATTGTATATAATATTGTTTAACGTCCCTCTCGAGAACTCCTATCTTCGCGACTCTGGAGCAGACGCTCTAATCACTGCGCCACGCGGTGCCTTTTTTATTCGAGAAAATGGAATAACTACTCGATGGTAATTCCTAATCGAGAAAATGTGATAACAGACTCCTATTCAATATGTCTTTTCTATTCTATACTTTTGGAAGCTACATGGATATTATTCAAAAAAAATATCACTCATCTTCTAAGATATATCATTTATATTCGAAAACATGGAATTGTGTCATTCATATTTGATTAGTTTGATATTCATATTTTTAATTATACATATAATTATATTACATATAATTATATAATTTTTATGCAATAATCAACTTAAAAAAAATAAACGAAAATATACGATACCCATTCGATTATCTTGTTATGTTTTCTTATACTCATTCAATACTTGCATTCTGGTTATAATATGGGGCGGGGGGGGGGGGAGAACTGATTGAGTTATAGAATGAAAATGACAAAATAAAATTGTATGCTGTAAGTTTGTCAGTAGAAATGAACATATTGCATATATATCATTGTTTTATCGAATATGAAAGACAAAATTATAAAAGAGGAATCACGAGTTTTCGACTATTAATAACAAACCGGTATCGAATAGGAATCTGGTTCATATTTTGTCAAATAGGAAATGCTTTAGAATATCAATAACAATTTTTAAAAGTGAAATAACAACAAAATATATATAGTATATATACATGGACAAAGTTTTACACACTATAATCTATGTATATACGTTTGCATATTGTTAAACTCCCTTTCGAGAACTTTTCACTCATATGGAGACGCCACCATTTGCGGGCAGAGAGAGCTGCAAATTTTATCCTATACTTGGCGCCACTGAAAAGTGAGTGATCTTAGTCGTGCCAGCACCTACCGCGACACAGGACATCAATTTTCACGGTCTCATCCGAAGGACCGGAATCCACGTCCAACAGTGGGATTCGAACACTCGACGTAAGAATAAACTCCTTACTTTGCGACTCTAGAGCAGACGCTTTAATAATTGCGAGGGCGACCATACTCAGGTTGATAAATTGTTTTTGAAATCCGACAGGAATGCACTTACCTATACAAGAAATAGTATCTTACGCAACGTTTCAATATTGATATTCTCCCATTCCAATCCTTATGTTTTCTTCTCAGTGGTTTCATTTTACCACAAAATCCACACATAGCATGCTATTGTTTCTCATTTTGCGTAGGAAATATTTAAAAGACAAAGATAGTCGTGTCGCACGAGGAATGAAAAAAAAATGTTTAGGTAGATTCGTAGGAGACTCGTAGATACAGAAGGAAGTACAGGGTGTTTCACAATATATGTCACACATCTAAATGGGCATAATCTGAATACGTGCATGATACCGAAAATACCAAAACACTATAAGTAAGCATATTGATCTAAAATTATGATATTGCAAAGTATTGGAGAAATTATAATATACCATGAAGTAACTGATGATATAATCAGTGATGGCGTAATTTCAGCTGTTCTCAAAATGGAGAACAACTTGCAGCAAAGATTTGTTCTAAACTTTTATTATTATGCTTCCTGTCAGTTTGTCTCTATATAACCCATACCCTGCTATTCTCGCATAGTGTTCTAAGGATTTATATAGCGTAAGCATACTATGCCGAAATAGAGCACACCTTTGACTTTTTTTTTAGAAAATTTGATTGTATCCACGATCGGGCTCGAACTCTCAACCCGACAGTATGTAGGATCAGGAATCCGACGCGCTACCGATTACGCTACATCATCCGTTGTTATTTAAGAAGATATTTTACGTATATAAAACATAGTATTTGTACCGTAGCCACACACACAAATAAAATAAATTTCTTCAATTCCAAAACATTTAAAATTCGTAAGGAATTTTAAGAGCAATCCGGACATTCCCGTACATATGCTCAAATTCTTTATTTTACACTACAATGTCAAGTCACGAAAGCGAGGTCTATAAAACGCTTAAAACAAGAAACATATTGACGCAAGCGTCAAAAATCGGCCGCAAACCAATTTATATAACTGTTGAAATTATTTCAGAAACTGAAATTTGCTGGGTTTTTTTTTTTTTAAATTTCTTATATTTATCTGTTAAAATATCCTCGTGACACGAAAACAAATGCATGCGGCAATGCCGATTTTCTTCATGCATAATGCATGTACAATATTACATGTAGGCAATATAAACTGTGCATAGACCTCTGCGTTTCTGCACTCAGTTTGGTACAACTTTACGAAGTCTGGTAAGTTTGCTGTTTAAGTAGTTTTTACATAAAAAGTACAAAACTAAAGTTTAAACTTAGCTATAGTTTTACCTTAATAAAAACGCAACAAATATATAATATGTGGGGCTCCTCGCTCTCTCTTAGAAGATGTTAACCCCCCCCCCCCAACTCCTTCTAGATCCACCACTACATTTCTTCTCTTTCAATCTCTTTGTTTTGGTGTTGAGATGTGGCGGGAAAATGTTTGGCACATTGTAAAACGCGCTCTATCCTAGTCTCCTGGACTAACATGTCGTAATATTCTTTGCTTTTAAGAAATCAATATTTCATCATATTTTTGAAAAACATCCATAGGAAATGTTTAAATTAAGACTTAATTTCAAATAAATACAGCAGATCCTGTTTAAAAAAGAGAAAGTAAAATTGTTGATTTACAACGCGGTCTTTGTTTTAGACTATGTCTAACACTCGTACTAATTTTCTCCGCACTTCAGTTATATCAGAGTTTGTCAATCAGGATTGGATGAAATATTTACCCCATTATTTATAAAATTTAATTTTACGATTATTCTGCTTTTTCCTAAACATTTAGACAATCTTTGTTTAAAACTGATTCGCCGGCGATATGAATGTTGAATATTTTTATTTAAATTGTTAACTCCGCAGAAACGCACAGCGACTTAAAACTTTCATATCATATAACCGACCGCCTCCTGGCGGCCGGTAATGATAGGAAATGTGGGTGAAAGTGCAAAGCGCACTTCACATGATTTCTCGTCTGCTTTGGAAAGTGCAAGCTCAAGTAAAGGTGCGGAATGTCTAGATTTGGAAAGATAAAGCCAAGCGACTTTAAAGAAAGTTATTTAGTGTCGGCAAAAACGAAACATGCTACAAATTTTTCCATCAGAATATTTACAGACTTTTTGCATGAAAGGGGGAGAGAAACCGATGTAATGAAATACAACAAAACTGATCTTTGTGAATGCTTACAGGATTTCTACAGCAATGTAAGAACAAAAACGTGGGAACTTTACAAAAAGAACTCTTTGTTAAATATACGTCAGGGGATTTGCAGGTACCTGAAAGAAAACGGATCAACAATTGATATTATCAGTGACCCGGGTTTTGGCCCTGCAAACAGCTGTTTTTCGTCCCTTTTAAGAAAAACTAGGGCAGAGGGCAAGGGGGGAGTCGACCACCACCCTGCTATTTTGGCAGAAGATATAAGAAAACTTTATGAGCATAAGCTAGCTTTTAATACTGCTACACCGCAAGGACTTTTAAATAAAGTAATTTTTGAAATTGTGTTATATTTCTGCAGAAGAGGACAAGAAAACCTTCAAAATTTGAAGGTACATGATTTCGAAATCATGTCAGAAAATGGAGAACGTTTTGTAAAAAAAACTTAATTCTGAAATTTCGAAGAATCATCAGGGAACAACAAGCGAGACAGAGAGTTCAGGGGCACGTATGTACGAAATAAAAAACTCTCCTCTCTGTCCAGTCAAATCTTTTGAAAAATACTTGTCAAAAAGACACTTGGGAAGTGATCGACTCTTTCTTCATCCAAAAAACAGCTTCAGTGATGAGGACATAGTATGGTACAGAAATGAACCAGTAGGTTTGAACAAGTTGAAAATATTCATGAAAAATTTGTCTAAGAGTGCGGGTTTAACAAAGGAATACACAAATCATTGCATTCGATCAACGACAATTACACTTTTGAACAATTGTGGATTTGAATCCAGGCATATTGCAACAATAAGCGGTCACAGAAATGAAGCATCACTTGCTAGCTATTGCTATGATACTTCAGGTAACCACTTTTATTATCGCAGTGATCTACTCTATATATAAGTTTAACAAACAATATTATGTATAGTTTTTACAACCATGTACATATTTATCTTTCAGATCAGCAGAAAAAGGCTATGTCAGATGCTATCAGTGTTTGTGTTGGACATAAAATAGAACCTAGTGAAAAAAGTACACCCAAAGATGCAGGTTTGTTAAATTTTTATTTAGAGAGAGCGGTATAGTAATGATTATTGCAACCAAGTTACATTTTGCATGTAAACACTGATATCTTTTTGTAGAAGTAATATAGTGCAGTATACTACATGGACTTAATAATCAAGTGTTGTTTCTTTTCTTTTAGGGAAAGCTATTAAGTCAGGTGATGGTAAAAGAGGCACTTCAGTTGCAATCCAAAACACATATACATTGACAGGTTTGTAAATCTTATTTCACAAGATCTTTTGTTTAGCTCTAATTTAAAGATACTTGTAAATATCTATGTAAGCAGTGATTAAAAGTGATGATTAATTTACATGTACTGCATATTTTCTGTTTAACCAGATACATGTACTGAGATGAGTGATAATGATGATGCAGCACTCCTGAAGTGTGCCATGGATATGGAAAATAATTCTAATCAGCAGGCTGTCAAACCTATTTTCCAGTTTTCCGGATGCAATGTCACAATTCAGAACCACTATCATTAACACTTAAACAATTAATTCTGTTACATAAGGCCCTGTGTAAACTACATTACTTAGTCACTGTGTGAAGTTAAATTCATGAAAATAAAATCTTGAATTTGCATTTCATATCATATTATACAAAAACAGTCAGCATAATAATAATAATAGTGTCATTATTTGGATGTACTATGCCGAAATAGTATTCAGGGTTTGACACATAGTGGACTCGCCTCCGGCTGGGGCACAATGTGTCAAACCCGGAATACTATTTCGGCATAGTACATCCAAATAATGACACTATTATATAATTATAAGAACGATATCCTAAATATTGTACAGGATTGATGATGAAAAATATCCAGACCAGAAATTGCTGTTTAGTTTTCGTATATTAAGAATAATTGGAGATTTTGAACTAAAGTATAATATAAGGATGAAAGACAGTTAAACCCTGCCTCCTCTACCCCAGCCCCCCCCCCCCCCCCCCCCCCCCCCCCCCCCCCCGAAGAAAAGAAATCAAGAAATGAGAACAATATCAAAATGAAGTTAATCATTGAAAAAACTCATGAAAGTTAGATCTAATCTAGGGAAAAAGATTGAAACAATGCCGGTAAGTGTATCAAGTGTATTTAGAAGTCTTAAATTTGAGTTAAGTTTGTCTGCATGCAAGATTTCAGCATTTTAAGTCGATTGACGTTCAGAGCCGATTAAATTTTGCAAGATTGACTGAAAGGAAGAGCGAAAGAAGTGGACACCATCTAACAGGTAGTGTTAGTTCCGAAACGACACATTTAAAATACAACTTTAAATAACAATAGATATGCACTTTGGGGGTTCTAAAAAGCCAAGAAAAGCTTCAAGTATCCCATGAAACTTTCAAAGCAGTGGTCAGAAATTTCTTAGCATTTGTCTCTTATTTAGGACAATGTTGGGAAAACATTTGTAGAATGACATTTTAGGATTTGTTGCCATAGTAACTGAAGTGGAGAATGTTGGATACTTCTGACTCCAAAAAATAATTTTGAATAGATGCTGATTAAAATGATATATAAATTGTATATGTTGCTTTTGTTGTCATTTATCTATCTGTCTTTAGATATGTGACATATATTGTGAAACACCCTGTAGCTTCATTATAACCCAAGTAAAGCCTACCGTGTATACTCGTACATTGCGATATTGACCTATTGTGTACCTAGGATAATATAGAAAGACCTCGTTGGCTTGCGGGGATTTCCAAGAATTTCACCTTTATTTCAGACAGTGTCTTTAAATAATAAACGTATACACTTATCGCCCCCTAGCGCAGTTATTGATGCTACAATAGAGTCGCGGCAAAAGGAATTGATCACTACGTCGCGAGCTCAGCGTGGAGACGGTCCTTCGAATGAGACTGTATATATAAACCGAGGCACGGTGTTAAGTAGCTTGCGTAGGTGCTGGCACAAAAAGAAATCGGAATGTACTTTAAAACCCCAGTCACATTTCCAAAAACGACCAACGGCCGACGGTTTTTGAAGCAAAAATGGGATTCTTCGGGTGACAGTCGGCGATTCATAGGCCGTTGTCTTGCCCGATTTTGACCTCTTTTTTGTCGGCCGACCAAGTTTGTGTCCATCCGTCCAAGTAATAATTTTTCTGCGTCGGTGGCCGATTTCTTCTATTAAATTTATCTGTCGACCACATTCGATCATCGTCCGACCCTCGGCGCTCAGTTTATTAAGTCGGTCGTCCGTCGTTTGACAATAAAGGTGTCAAAAATTTCGGCCGACGGTTAAAATCAAACTGTAGCTCAGAAATCGATGATCGGGCGACTATTGGCCGACTTGTGAATATTTAATCTATAAAGGATTCACAACACAAAACGGATGTTGATGCATGAATTGATACATATTTTTTTGAATGGAATGATATTTAGAAATCCTAATTATTCTTTGCTGCTAACATGCATCATTTCTCGTTATTTATGTAATTCTTAACAAAATTTTGCACACATTTTCAACATTAAGCTACAATCTTACAAAATTCTTCCACCTCGCCTTGCAAACATTACTCACATCACCTATCTGAATATAGATCTATGAAAAATATTGCTGATTTCTAAAGAAAAAAAGATTTGTTGTGTAATTTATCCAAGTCATTGGTGTTCCTAGGAATTAATGTGACTGCTCCGTGTCGTCCGATGCTCATGTCGACCGATGTTTTTAGCCGACAAGACCAGAAAAAAATTGTCGCCCGACCATCGGCTTAAATGTGACCTAGGCATAAAAGGTGTAGCATCCTAGTATGCTTACGATTTCTAATGATAAAAAAAATATCCTAATATTCAAATGACACATTGTACATTCTTTTTGTTAAAGCTTGTTAAGGAAGCTCTTAACACTAACTAAGGAGTCGATCCATACGTCGCGGGTTGCAATAGGTGCTGACACGAAAAGGATCCCTCACTGCTCAATGACCACGAGTGCCGAGTATAGGACAAAATTTGTAGCTCTCTACCGGTAAGTGATGACGTCTCCATATGAGTGAAAATTCTCAAGAGGGACGATAAGCAAAATACAAACAAAAACAATGAGCAGATTTCAAAGCGTAAATTCATTTTATTAATCTATAATCATTAGAGCCCCCCCCCCCCTCAGGCCCTCTACGGTACGCCTGATCCAGGGGCATTTAAATTTACATTTCTGAAAGAAGAACCCTTGTTAATTATAACTAAATGTAGCGAGCCTGTTTAATACACCAGAATGATAAGACGCAGAGAAGATTTTCCAAAAAATTAGACATTTTCACCATAATTATAATTAATAGAGTCCCGCCCTGACACCAGAACCCCTGACCCTAGGGCCATGTAATTCACAATCTTTCAAGAGACACCCTTAATCATCATTCCTATGTAGTTAGTTTGTTTAAAATACCCAGGAGCAGAGGAGAACATTTTCAAAACGCGAATGCATATTATTCACTATAGAATTTAGAATAGAATTTATTACCAATCAGCGCCCATTAGGCATAAACATATAACATATATAATTACATATAAACATAATATTAAAGTAATAGACAGAATACAACATGTGGTGAAGAGCAATTCTTCTATTAAGTATATATATATACTGATATATATGTTGGTGGCAATTTAAGTTTCATATACAGACATACATGATGGTTTGTTGTACAAAAAAAAGTGTGCATAAGTATTATTCATGATATACATATATATGTAAATATGCATATCAAAATGCATAAAACTATGTTTGAAACATCAACAGGAGGCAGCAAGAGTCGGTGCTAAAGGATATACAGAATTCCACTCATGTAGAATAAACAGACATAAAATTTATGGAGATAAACATATATTATATAAATAAATTATACATTGACACATGTGTTAATTAAACTAAACTACAATGGACAGCAAGAGTCAGTGCTGAAGGATAGTATATTGTTATTATACATGTATTAAAGTTATCCACTTCTGTCCAATGTAGAGTATATAATACAACACAAATATCAACAACACCTTTACATAGTGTAGCATAATTATCCAACCAAGGTACTTCAAATGATTTTGAATTTGTCGAACTATACATGACTTATGAATTCACACAATTTGAACAGCACATCAACATCTTCACAGTTCATTAACCATAAAAATTGGGTTATTTTTTGACAAGCTATTAAAAAGATGACACCTCATAGATATCATGGATAGTAAATTTATTCTTGATTGACTATGGCATGGACAACTTAAAAGAAAATGTACTTCATCTTCTATCTCTTCTATTTTACAATTGGGGCATATTCTCTCTTCTCTTGGAATACCGTAATGTCTACCTTTTTCAATCATCAGATTGTGAGAAGATATTCTAAATTTTGTTAGAATCTTTCTTTTTTCAAACTTTCTTAAAATTAATAAATAAGGTTCTAGCCCAAAGTTCTGTTTAATTGTGCAATAGGTGTCCTATTTCCCACAATTACTTAATTCTTCCTTCTTTTGATACCATTTTTCAAGAAAATATGAATTTAGAATGCATTTACAATGATATTTAAATGTTGATGTAGATGATTTCAGATGAGGTGTTAACTGAGGAAGAAGTTGTTTAAACATATCAATAGAACCAAACCATGATAAATTGTTTTTATTGAAATTGGATACCGAGGTAGTATGTACGCAGCTTTTAATAGAGGATATGTGTCATCCAAATTCTCTAACCTATGCCAGAAATTCAATATATTCTGAACAATACTGAAACTCATAGGGTGTCTACCTAGTTCTGAAAGGACTGCAAATTTTGTACTTTTGTTCTTTACACCTAATAAAAATCTACAAAACTTGTAATGTAATTTCTCACAAAGTGACTTAGAAAATAATTCATCCAGTGCAATGGGTCCATTTCTAAATCGTGAAGTAGTGTTAAAGGCCCCCCAAATTTCACTACCGTAAAGTAATATGGGTTTTATTGTATGATCATATACATGTAAAGCTGTGTTTATTTTAGGGTTCAATGATAGGAAATTTTTTTGTAATTTAAAAAATGCTTTTGAAGCTTTTTTGTAAAGTTCATCCTGAGCAAGTGTAAAACTTCCAGATGCAGTGAAATGTATGCCCAAGTATTTATAAGAAGTAACACATTCAAGAGGTTCTTTGTTTAGTGTGAAGTTTTCTTTCAAGTGTCTACCTGCTTTATTAAAGATTAATACTTTGGTTTTTGAAACATTTACATCAAGGCACCAGTCAGTACAGAACTTATCAAGACAATTAAGTTTTTGTTGAAGTCCTTTTGATGACTTGGACAATAAAACTATATCATCTGCATACATTAGACAATGAAGTAATTTATCGTGTAACTGAATATTATCATCAGTTATATTATTGAAGTATTCTGGAAGATTATTGATAAAAATTTTGAATAAATTTGGACTTAAATTGTCTCCCTGTTTAACTCCTAACTTAATAGGGAAAGTCTCAGTGACTTGATTGTTTAACTTAATGCATGATCTACTACAATTGTACATACTCTTAATTACATTGTAAAATTTAGATCCAACACCAATTTCTAGCAGTTTAATTTTGATGCCTTCATGTATTACTGTGTCAAATGCTTTTCTAAAGTCAATGAAACATGCATAGAGTCGTCCTTCTTTCTGAGAGCAATATGTTTCAAATAAAGTTCTTAAAATAAACATGTGATCAGATGTTCTTGCCTTTTTACAGAAACCAATTTGAAAATCATTAATAATTTTTTTTTTTGTCTAGATATTTATCAAGTCTTTTATTCAAAATACTGTTAAATAATTTACCAATTGCACTAGTGATGGTAATGCCACGATAATTGTTTGGATTATTGATATCCCCTGACTTATGCAGAACAGTAATGTATCCCTCGGCCCATGATTTGGGATAAAGTCCATGTGATAAGCAAGCATTGAAAATATTTCTTAAAGATGGTAGTAGAGCATTGTGACAGTATTTAATCATATGATTGGAAATGTTGTCTAGTCCAGGAGATTTATCATATTTAATGCAAGAAATTGCCTCTGATATTTCCGAAGAACTTATTGTATAGTCCAATTCATTAAAACATTGTTTATTTTCCATTTGAGAAATTTTCGTTTTCAATTCATTGAGCCTGTCAAAACATGACTCTTTCACTTCATTTAATTTTGTAAAATGATCCAGCCATCTCTCAGGATGAATAGTTGTATCTACTGCATTATTTTTGTCAAGAAGATGGTTCACAGGATTCCAGTAAAGTTCGGGGTTATCCTCATTTAAAGCATCAAGCCTTGCAATGAAGGACTGCTGATATTGTATTCGTTTGTGTTTACATAATTTACCAAACTGTTTTCTCAGTTTAAAAAATCTGCCTCTAATAATTGGATCTTTTGGGAATTGAGACATAACTCTAGCGATATTAATTAATCTATTTTTTGTGTGTTTTAGATCTCCATCAAACCACTTCTTATTTTTATTTCTTTGTGCTGCTTTAGTTTTATTTTTTTCTGCTTTAGTTTTATTTCTTTTTAAGGATCTAGTGGCAGCATTAATAATAATAGTCTGGAGTTTGTCTACAGCAGTATTTACAGAGGATAATGAGTACTGAACCTCCAAATTTGCCAAATCAGACAGTTCTTTCTGTATGTCTACAGAGGTTAACGCTTCTTGAAATTTAAATGCTGAGTCTTCTGACCATATAAAACGTGGATTTATAAATTGCATCTTACACATATCTTGATTATTATCTACTAGATTTGTAAAATTGGCAGACATTTCCCAATGTAATAAGCAGTGACAGTCAGATAGTGTAGGATCAAAATCATTTACTCTGAAGTACAAAATCTGATCCAAAATGCTTTCAGAGATGATAACATAGTCAACCACACTAGAACCATTAG